CTACCGCAGGAAGAGGAAAAACTCCACCGGTGAGAGTAAGATTCAGACCTCTCTAACAAGTCAATGTGAAATCTAACTATAGCTGGGTCAGTTCATTTGTTCATGCCTTTCAAATCACAAATCAACTAGCCCTCAATCCCCCTTTCCACAGACCTGGACTCATCCACAGAAGATCCCGTCTCTCCAAAAAGGAAAAGCCGCTGCAGATCTAGCTGCAGTTCAGAGCCAAACACACCTAAAAGCGCTGCAAAGTGTGAGGGGGACATTTTCACCTTTGATAGGCCAGGTAATACTTCACCACCCACAAAACCGTCATCATTTTGCAGCCTATATTATCCTGATTCAACTACATTATAATTCTCTCCCTATCTGGTACAGATGGAGAGGATATTCTGGGGGAGCTGGAGTTTGAAAAGGTGCCCTACTCCTCTCTCAGGAGAACTCTTGATCAGAGGAGAGCTCTTGTCATGCAGCTATTCCAGGAGCATGGCTTCTTCCCCTCAGGTAACGCACACACTTTTATAGAGTACTGTTACTGTACCACCCACACAGCTTACAGACAGCACAGAAGTAAAATGAAGAACAAACCAATTACAGCACAAATCTTAACCAAAATGGATGCTATTGACATAACACTATTCATTAGACCAGGAGTGTCCAAACTCGGTCCTGGAGGGCCGGTGTCCTGAAGAATTTAGCTCCAACCCCAATTAAACACACCTGAACCAGCTAATCAAGCTCTTACTAGGCATACTAGAAACTTAATGGCAGGTGTGTTGAGGCAAGTTGGAGCTAAACTCTGCAGGACACCGGTCCTCCAGGACCGAGTTTGGGCAGCCCTGCATTAGACCCATGGATTTCAACCGGGGGGTCCTTGGAGAGATACAAGACTAATGGAATCTTAAAATATAAAATATATATTATGAATGTTTCAGATGTATTTCTAAATCTAGCTATTATAAACTATAACTTTTTTTTTTTTATTATCAAAAGAAACAGCCTCTTATCTAGCAGCTCTGAGTCACTTCACAAGGAGAGAAACTACCATCAAATACACACTGACACTCAAAGATCTTCACGACAAACTGACGAAATAATTTTAGTTTATCTTATATTGCTATATTTCTAATATATTACTATGTATTACTAATAAATGACTAAATAATAATAATATTATAATTATTTGTAAGGAATATCATACATCCAAGATATTTTTAGTCCATGTTTTAATTTATTAATTTAATTTAAATGTTTTGTTGTAAATAATTGTTATATTTTCATTCATTAAATTGTTGTTACATTTTATTAGACACCATTTTTGATTGATAAATTATAATAAATCATAAAACGAAATTCAACAGAATTTATGGGAAAATAAAATGGTTTTCTTGGGAGTTAAAAAACAAGTTTCTATTCATTCTCATGGTCTAACACACATGTGGAAAGCATGTCCACATTTATAGTAAATTTATATTGTGATTGTATTTTTGGCCATATCATCCAGCCCTAATGCATAGTTCGCAATATTAAAGGAATTAAATATAAACATCAAATGTTTTCACTATCACGTCATTCCTAGCATGTCTATTGAACAAAAATGTAGAAATTCTGGTCACGCTTTTTCATGCAGTTACAAAAAAAAAATTTGACTGAAGCTTCAAAAAGCACCATCAATGCATCGTAAAACATTTAGACTTCTGAAGCCTTGCAGTGGCTTTGTGTGAGAAAGAGAACAAAATTGAAGTCAGAACTTGTTAAGGGAATCTTGTTCCGATTTTTATGTTGCTGGTCCTTAAAGGGATAGTTCACCCAAAAATGAAAATTCTGTCATTAATTACTCACATGTGGTTCCAAACCTGTAAGACCTTCGTTCATCTTCGGAACACAAATCAAGATATTTTTTATTTATTCTGAAAGCTCTCTGACCCTCCCATAGACAGCAAGGATCCTTACATGATCAAGGCTCATAGCTTGCTCATAGATTCTCATAGCTTCGTAAAATGACGGTTGAACCACTGATGTCACAATGATTATTTTAACGATCTCCTTGCTACGTTTCTGAGCCTTGATCATGTAAGGATCCTTGCTGTCTATGGGAGGGTCAGAGAGCTCTCAGAATGCATCAAAAATATCTTAATTTGTGTTCCGAAGATGAATGAAGTCTCTCTGGGTTTGAAACAATTTCAGGGTGAGTAATTAATGACAGAATTTTCATTTTTGGGTGAACTATCCCTTTAAATTGGCTGAGAGGAACATCTGAGATTATAAAGGCCAAAAACCCCTGCATTAGATAAAAACACTTTCAGAATTTTCTTTCGTCTAATACTCTCTTTCTCTCCCCCTTTCGCCCCTCTCTCGATCAATAGCTCAAGCTACTGCAGCATTCCAGGCACGATACGCTGATATCTTCCCCACTAAGGTGTGTTTACAGCTCAAGATCCGTGAGGTCCGGCAAAAGATCATGCAAACGGCAGCTCCGTCGGAATCGGCAGGCATTTTTGATGTTTCCTCATTACCAGGACCTTCTGGGGCAGCGGCGGGGGCCAGTGACCTAGCTATAGGGGCAGAGCCTCAGGAAAAAGAGGCCGAGCGGGAGGGTGAGCAGAACAGCTCGGAGGAGCCCAGAAATGCTGGCGATTCACAGGACACCAGCAGATGAGGTTGATGGGAAAATGGAAGGCTTGAAGACCAGATGTCTCCCCTCGACATCTGCATGATCTACATTTGTTGTCTTGTCTCTGCTATGACTGCCTCGGAAGGACATAGAGAGAAAAAGCAAGAGCAAAATTTGTATGTATATGGAGCAGATGAGGGGAGATGCCTAAAAACACTTTGGGGTTTTGAAACTTCTCAGTATTTTACGTGATGTTGAATTATGAAAACTTTACATTCAGACACTTGCCTACATAAACACAGACACTCTTGAATATACACTCTTGAATTTACAGCATTATCTTAGTCATTAGGCTTCCTTTGGACTTTGAAACTAGAGGACTGTGGGCCTGTCCTGTACACCAGTGAAGTCACAGTGCTGCTGATGCCTCTAGAAAGGCGGGACGTGTGAGGGCACCCCATTCCTTTTCAGACTGAGTTGTGTTCGTACGGCCTGATTGGCAGTAGCTTGGCCACAGGTGTTTTTTATTGGTTTGTAGGTTACTGCCAGTCATTGTGAGGCGGGCCTCCACTGGCTGAGTTTAAGTGATAATGAAGACTTGTTGGACTTTTATTTTTGATTTTTTTTTCTTCTGTGGTGTTTTAATTTTTGAAGACTTTTTCACAGAGAGCTTTGTTAAGGCACTGAAAACCTTCGGCGAGAGACTTTGCGCTGCCATTCGTAAACTTTTCGTCCTATGATTGACTTTAACGGTTGTCAATCAAACTGGAGTCATTCCAAAGCATCTGATTGGCTAGCCATGAAGGAAAAAGGTCATGGAAGGGAAGTCAACAGGCACATCATTGCCATTGATTTATGTTTTTCCATATATTAAGAAATTCCACATATTTAAGCATTTCTTTCTCTGCCTTTTTTATTCAACTTTTCATGAGCTGGTGAAGCACGGAGCAAAGAGAATGTTGAGAATATATTCTTAAGAATTTACTATAAGAATTTTATTAACTTTTTAGAGGAGAAACTTGATTTTTCAACACGTAATGATACAGGTCATTATGTTATAAAATCTCATTATTACTGTTCTTATTAATGCTTTGTTGTTCTTGTGGATCTGATCCTTATAACCTATATATATACTGTATTCTTATTAATATACTCTTTCTTTAGCAGAAACGGAGGGACGAGTTCGCCCTCTTCCCTTGCTCCCAGAGGCACTTCCACTACCTTTTTTTAAACCTTTTCTCTTACACTTTTTATCTTGATATTCACAATGTTTTATTTCTTACCAGAGAGCAATTACGTAAGCCTTTATTGTTAGGCACTCCAAATATCTTTCTGGTAGTTGTACATGTTTTTTATTATTTCGATTTACCACTTACATTCCTCCTCCTGTCACTTTATCGTTTTTTCTCAATCACTTTAAGGCTATAAGGGGGACTGGGAGGCCACAGATGATCTTCTCTTGCAGCACTGCTCTTTGTTGTACATAAATACAGTAAGAGTCCAAAGACTCAAGCATCACAATAAAAAGCATCAACAAAAACATTGTTGGAAGAAACAAAGCCAGTAACAAGAAATTGTATTACAAAAGGGGAAATAAAGAAATATGGTTATAAACTGTTCTTATTGCGTTACCTTGTTTTGCTGATTTACGTACCCAAGAAAGACTTGACTTACCGATAAGCTTTACATTTTAACTGTATCTCTCAGTAAACAAATAAATAGATGTTCAATGAAACAGACTCTTCGTTATAAGTAAAAAGATTGAGGAAATAATAACTCTTCATTGGACATCGATTGGGTGACGTCATAGATGTGCATTTTAATTGTATTTTTTCGGAGCGCAACTGTTTAAAACTTCACCGTGATCTATTTTTGTGCGGGAAGTTTTGAGTTGGAGTATGCCTGAATGGTACATCAAGTTATAAGATGTGACCAATAAGAATAAAGGAATGATTGGGTGTTTAAATACACAAGTATTAGTAACATTATATTGTGGTTAGTTTTTTTTTTTTTATCACATTTCTACATTCTAGCCAATTGCAGTATGGAGAAACAAATGAATTCCATGTAACATCAGAACAAATTTAAAGATTTACTTTCTTTCACTCAAGAAGAACATTCTATGATCATTTTCTTAGTTTCAAACCTGTGACTTTTTTTCTTCTCTGGGTCACAAAAATGTTATTTTCAAAAATGTCTCCGTGTGGTTTTGTCCAAACAATGGAAGTCAGTGGGGTCCCGTGTTGCTTTGGCCCTCTTTGACTGAGATTGCATCTAATAAGAACATTGAAACGTTCCAAATATCTTCTCTTTGTTCTGCAGAAGAAAGTCGTACAGGTTTAAAACAACATGAGAAGGTGAATAAATGATGACAGAATGTTCATTTTTTTGAATGGCCCATCCCTTTAAGGTGACATCGTGATTGCTGGGTATTGCTGTTGTAACACCACTTTCTCAAAGAAATTACACTAGGGAGACAAACTGTTTTAAGTTTATTTGCAACACGTCTCCAAATCAGCATCATAACATTAAAAATGCTACAAGCATTCAGTGTACAGATCGAGAGATGGAAATACATGTGAATTCATTGTCCACTGTAGTGATGGTGCATAATATCTGTCCATGATTAGCACTTGTTTTGTACTTCCTCTGCCCTGTTGTTTTGTTCTTCAGGTGAGTGCCCTTAAACTACCTCCTCCCCAGAACTGCAGGTCAGGACGTTAACCGGGAATCATTACACACCATCCTGTGTTATCAACGTGCTCTACTGTCCACGGGTGAAATCTGTACCTTCATACCCTCCATCTGGCTGTCCAAATGTCAGATTGAGAGTGTCATGCAGTGTGTCATCAGAAAGACAGACTGTACATTTCTTGTCCCAAAACAGGAGACATCCTATCACAGATTTGAGCCTTTCAGTTGCACCTCTAATATCAGCCCTCTTTTAAGATTGTTAGCTCAAATTATTTAGCAAAAATGTCTTTAAAAATTGAAAATAAGGCTGAAGAATATCTGAAAGGATGGACTAGAGTGGCTATTTGAGGTATGCTTGTTCACACATTCAATGGAAATGACTACAATGTCTTGAATATGGAACACTTCCTTAATCTCTGCTTTCCCTGTTTTTTTTCTCTCTGCACTTGTTCTGACCCACTTATGCTCTTCTTTTAATCACAATCTTCAAATCACCAAGATGATGGCCACTGGAGTGCTGCACTGTTCTTCACTTCTCTCACATTAACTGCAGGTTGTCCACAGTGATGGCCTCCATGTTGATGCCACTCTCCAGTGCTGTGTGGTACAGCTCGATGGCCTCTGCCAGGTCTCCGCTCGTCTCAATGATGGCTATAGTCTCTCCAAGCTCGTTAAACATGATAGTGGGAGTTCCCTGAGTATGAAACATTGAGAAAATATAAACCATTATTTTGTGAACATGCAAAACTATAGCAAACACACACACACCGTAGGGTGGTTTCCAAAAATTTCGGCATTGATTCTGATTCATGGTTCTAGAACTTACTATGGAATCGACTCCTCGCTTTTGTTTTCTTTCATTCTTTTTTTTAAGATTAGAGGAACATGTTTACCTAATATTGCTTGGATATATGATATGAAGGCTTACCTCCTTTTAAACTTTCTTAGTATATAATATTACCAGCTATAATAACACACAGTAGGGTGGTTTCCAAAAATTTCGGCATTGATTCTGATTCATGGTTCTAGAACTTACTATGGAATCGACTCCTCGTTTTTGTTTTCTTTCATTCTTTTTTTTAAGATTAGAGGAACATGTTTACCTAATATTGCTTGGATATATGATATGAAGGCTTACCTCCTTTTAAACTTTCTTAGTATATAATATTACCAGCTATAATATCATCTATTATCTTTCCATGTAGTTCGGAGCACCCCTCAAATCTTCCCATTGTGGACTACCGAACAAGCCAGTTTCACTCTCGAGTTCACAAGATTAGTTTATTCTATATATTTTAGACACCTAAAACGTTTTAGGAGCAAAACTTTAATTTAGGAGACATGTTGAAGACAATCTAATGATATTTGTAAGATGTATGCTATTCGACATGCAGGAACTTTCATACATATGGCTTTATTTGAATGTTTCTGCACAACATACCATGATACGGAGTTGTTAATAATACGTACAATGTAAAAGATCAGCTGCAAACATTTTTTGAGTCGATTAGTTGAAACTGACCATCCATCACTACAGTGAGCGACTGAGAGGCGTATTAATCATTAGCTGTATTGAACTGAAAAAGACTATTAAAGAGGAGCCAATTCGCATTTTTCCGACCTTTGCAATAGATTTTCAATTCCAAACGCCTTGTAAATCTGTTTTTTGGAAATCGATTCCCAGTTCTAACACACAAAAGTAACAGTTTCCTACCTGTGTCAGGTTGGATGTTTGTATCTGAATGACTTGGGGTTGTCCAAGCTGCACCTCTTGTTGGCAGAAGGCTGGTACCAGGTCCATCTCAGAAGCTTCCACAACAGCAACAGTTGCTGTTTGAGATTCTGCAGCCACTGCTTCTGCGCTATGTTCTGGCTCTTGCTTTTGGGTGCGATTGTGGGTCTTCCGATGGTTCCTAAGGTTCGAAACCGTCTTGAAGGTCTTTCCACATTCACCGCAAGCATGCGGCCGCTCACCCGTGTGTGTACGCCGGTGTTCCGCCAGATGCATGCTCTGCACGAACATCTATTATCTTTCCATGTAGTTCGGAGCACCCCTCAAATCTTCCCATTGTGGACTACCGAACAAGCCAGTTTCACTCTCGAGTTCACAAGATTAGTTCATTCTATATATTTTAGACACCTAAAACGTTTTAGGAGCAAAACTTTAATTTAGGAGACATGTTGAAGACAATCTAATGATATTTGTAAGTTGTATGCTATTCGACATGCAGGAACTTAAGTGAATGAAAGTTATCTTAATCAGCAATATGTGTTCATACATATGGCTTTATTTGAATGTTTCTGCACAACATACCATGATACGGAGTTGTTAATAATACGTACAATGTAAAAGATCAGCTGCAAACATTTTTTGAGTCGATTAGTTGAAACTGACCATCCATCACTACAGTGAGCGACCGAGAGGCGTATTAATCATTAGCTGTATTGAACTGAAAAAGACTATTAAAGAGGAGCCAATTCGCATTTTTCCGACCTTTGCAATAGATTTTCAATTCCAAACGCCTTGTAAATCTGTTTTTTGGAAATCGATTCCCAGTTCTAACACACAAAAGTAACAGTTTCCTACCTGTGTCAGGTTGGATGTTTGTATCTGAATGACTTGGGGTTGTCCAAGCTGCACCTCTTGTTGGCAGAAGGCTGGTACCAGGTCCATCTCAGAAGCTTCCACAACAGCAACAGTTGCTGTTTGAGATTCTGCAGCCACTGCTTCTGCGCTATGTTCTGGCTCTTGCTTTTGGGTGCGATTGTGGGTCTTCCGATGGTTCCTAAGGTTCGAAACCGTCTTGAAGGTCTTTCCACATTCACCGCAAGCATGCGGCCGCTCACCCGTGTGTGTACGCCGGTGTTCCGCCAGATGCATGCTCTGCACGAAGCCCTTATCGCAGAACTCGCACCGGAACGGACGCTCGCCCGAATGTGTGCGAAGGTGCTCCCGCAGGTGCGTGTTCTGGCGAAACCGTTTTCCGCAGATCACGCAAGGATACGGACGCTCACCGGTGTGTACTCTTTGGTGTAGTGTAACACTTGAGGCTGAACCAAAGAGTTTTCCACAGACCGGACAGGGATGAGGCTTGCCAGTGGTGGAGCTTGAGCCTCGAGGCCGGCCGGGCCCAAGTCCGTGACTTAGCTGGTGCAGGCGGAGATTTGCAGGAGAATTTAACCGCTTGCCACAAATAGTGCAATCCAGATTAGGTTTCGTCATCGAAGGAGCGCTTAGTTGCTCTGTATTATCCATCGAGCCCTGTTGACTGCTAACCTGGGAGTCCTGGGAGATACTGTGTAGCTGAGTAAAGTTGGGATGCTCCTCCAGGCAATGAAGGTCTCGTTGACGCTTGCGCAAGAACCCCTCGGAACAGTGCGGGCAGGGGTAAGGTGCTGGTGACCCTGGGTGGTGAAGAAAACGATGAGCTACAAGTTTAGCAGGACGGATAAAGGTAGCGGAGCAGTCTGGACAGGGTGAGGGCATCACATTGCTGTGAAGATGCTGACGGTGTTGACGAAGATTTGACGATTGGCTGAAGGCTTTGTGGCAAATGTCACACCGGTACGGACGGACTCCTGTGTGTGTGAGTCCATGACGGGAAAGATTTGCAAGAGAGGAAAAGGTCTTTCCACACACGCTGCACTGGAACGGCCGCTCGCCCGTGTGCGTGCGCAGGTGGTTTCGCAGATGGATCTGCTTCTTGAACGGTTTCCCGCAGATGTTGCATTTAAAACGCCGTTCGGTGGTATGAGTCGTTCGGCGATGACGCAACAGACGGACCTGTGAGGGGAAACTTTTTTTACAAATAGAGCAAGGGAACTTTGGTTCTTCCTCAGCAGGAGTCCCGTGTTTACTTGGTTCCTCTCCTCCTCCTTCCACACTGGCAGTAGTTGAATGTTTGGGGTCGATTGTCAGCATTTTCCCTCCATTTGGGGTTTGTTCTGTGTTTGAGGGTTCAGCATGAAGCCCATTTTCTGTTGGCTCTGAAGACTGGGAAACCACTGCAATACCTTCAATGAGCACAGGACCTGTGTCACTGGATTCTATTCTGTCATCTTTCACAGGAGGAATTGTCACCGCATGTCTTTCTTTCCTCCAAGCAGCCTCGCGTTCTCTTGCTCTTTGGATGATAGAGAGAGGTGACTGCTGGGCCAGTACAAACTGCGAAGCGGAGATGGTTGAATTAATCTCACAATTCAACGGTCACATTCAATTCCCTTTTTAAGGAAAAAGTATATATTAGGCCATTGTGCAATTAATAGGTTCTGCAGTGTGTGAATAAAATGAACAATAGCACTGACAGTGTGCATTTTTCAAATTGCATGGGAAATTAGAAGACTGACGTCAGTGCAAATATGTAAGAATTCAATTATAATAATTCAGTTCTGTTAAGTTATTGGAGCTTTTCTACGAATTAATAATATATCTGTACATTATTGGTTATTGGCAGATATTACAGATTTTTTTAATTTATGAATTTTTACTTTTTAAATATTGTATATGCATCACCAATAATGAATATTTATTTGCACATGACCACTTTCTCTATTTTAACATTCAAATTAACTTTGAAATTATTTAACACTGTTAAAAATGAATGTGAAATGAATGTCTGTTTTTCATTGTGTACATTATTATGTCTTAATGCCTAAATTCTCTTGTATACTTTAAGGTTTTATTTGTATTTACATTATACACAATATAGTGTAAAAAATTTTAATACAAGGCATTTATTGATTATCAGCCAAAATCGGTGCATCCTTAACGTTTTTAAAAATCTAATTTAATTTTGATTAGGGCAAAGGTGTCTAAATGTAATTATAGGGAAAATAAGCATAAACAATTAAAGGGGTCATATGATCCTGCTAAAAAGAACATTATTTGGTGTATTTGGTGTAATGAGTCTAATGTGTCTATGCGGTTTAAGGTTTAAAAAAACATACTGTACATTATTGTTTCTCCTCTATGCCCCGCCTTTTTGAAACGCGTCGATTTTTACAAAGCTCATCGGTCTGAAAAAGCGAGGTGTGCTGTGATTGGCCAGCTATCCAATGCGTTGTGATTGTCCGAATACCTCAAGCGTGAGACGGAAATGTTACGCCCCCCACATACTGTTGATGCCGTGTCCGGCCGGAGCGACGAGACAAAAACATTAAAACCCATTACAAACGAGGCATTTGTTGCATCCAGTGGGGACATAATTACTGATTATAATGACTTATACTGTCTTTTTACGCGTTGCGTTGCATTGCATCGCGCCGCGTAAACATAAAACTGTCTGCATTTGTGATCAGAGAAATGACAAACAACAAGTGCTACTCTACTGCCCAAAACTCACGTTTGAATCATCAGTGGCAAATGATAAAATAAAACATACTTACGTGAGTCAGAACTGCCGGCATTTTAGTCTAACGTTACTCACACTAGAGTTGGCAGTACGTCAAATACAGGTGCATTGCAAGTCTATTCAGATGAACAGAAAAATAGCACAGATCGCTTGACGGAGAGTGAAACTCTGAAGCGCTCAGTCATTGTGTTCGGCGAGTAATAATATAGCTGTGCTAAACTTATACTTAGCCTCCAACTCACACACTGGCAAGTGAAATCTGAGAATTTATTAGCCAGTGGCTAATGTTAGACTTCATTTAGTCACCCAGAGTGAAAATTTAGTCGCATATGCGAGTGATTTACTCTCAGTGTAGAGGGTTGATACATAATAAATATACACAGTACACACACATATCTTATGTAAACAAAACCTTTTATTTTGCATGCGATTAATCGTTTGACAGCACTAATTCATATTGAAAAGACTGGATTTCACGTAAATTCTCTTAACAAATGTAAATGTGACAATAGATCAATAGGGAAAATCTTAATTAGAAAATAAGTTTGCATTGCATTTTTGTCATTACAAATTATGTTATTATTATAAAAGTTTTAGTGAATAATTGTATTTAGAAATGACAAATTTGAATACATTTCCTATGATAAGTGTCTCAAAGTGTTCCTTTGATTAGTGACTTTGATTAGTACAGAATCGTAAATATTTTAACAAATTAATTAATTGCATGGTCACACTTTAGTTTGGGGACCAATTCTCACTTTTAACTAACTACTAACTATGATTTTTGCCTCAAACTCTTAGTTTGCTGCTTGTTAATAGTAGTTCTTAAGTTTAAGTATGGGGTCAGATTAAGGGTTAAAGTGGATTAAGTAAATCTTGTGATTGGTGATGTGTGCAGGGTCCTGTCAGAAGTATACTTTGAGGAGCGCTTTGCAGAGCTGCCAGAATTCCGTCCAGAGGAGGTTCTGCCCTCTCCAACCCTGCAGAGTCTGGCCACTTCCCCACGAGCCATACTGGGCAGCTACCGCAGGAAGAGGAAAAACTCCACCGGTGAGAGTAAGATTCAGACCTCTCTAACAACTCAATGTGAAATCTAACTATAGCTGGGTCAGTTCATTTGTTCATGCCTTTCAAATCACAAATCAACTAGCCCTCAATCCCCCTTTCCACAGACCTGGACTCATCCACAGAAGATCCCGTCTCTCCAAAAAGGAAAAGCCGCTGCAGATCTAGCTGCAGTTCAGAGCCAAACACACCTAAAAGCGCTGCAAAGTGTGAGGGGGACATTTTCACCTTTGATAGGCCAGGTAATACTTCACCACCCACAAAACCGTCATCATTTTGCAGCCTATATTATCCTGATTCAACTACATTATAATTCTCTCCCTATCTGGTACAGATGGAGAGGATATTCTGGGGGAGCTGGAGTTTGAAAAGGTGCCCTACTCCTCTCTCAGGAGAACTCTTGATCAGAGGAGAGCTCTTGTCATGCAGCTATTCCAGGAGCATGGCTTCTTCCCCTCAGGTAACGCACACACTTTTATAGAGTACTGTTACTGTACCACCCACACAGCTTACAGACAGCACAGAAGTAAAATGAAGAACAAACCAATTACAGCACAAATCTTAACCAAAATGGATGCTATTGACATAACACTATTCATTAGACCAGGAGTGTCCAAACTCGGTCCTGGAGGGCCGGTGTCCTGAAGAATTTAGCTCCAACCCCAATTAAACACACCTGAACCAGCTAATCAAGCTCTTACTAGGCATACTAGAAACTTAATGGCAGGTGTGTTGAGGCAAGTTGGAGCTAAACTCTGCAGGACACCGGTCCTCCAGGACCGAGTTTGGGCAGCCCTGCATTAGACCCATGGATTTCAACCGGGGGGTCCTTGGAGAGATACAAGACTAATGGAATCTTAAAATATAAAATATATATTATGAATGTTTCAGATGTATTTCTAAATCTAGCTATTATAAACTATAACTTTTTTTTTTTTATTATCAAAAGAAACAGCCTCTTATCTAGCAGCTCTGAGTCACTTCACAAGGAGAGAAACTACCATCAAATACACACTGACACTCAAAGATCTTCACGACAAACTGACGAAATAATTTTAGTTTATCTTATATTGCTATATTTCTAATATATTACTATGTATTACTAATAAATGACTAAATAATAATAATATTATAATTATTTGTAAGGAATATCATACATCCAAGATATTTTTAGTCCATGTTTTAATTTATTAATTTAATTTAAATGTTTTGTTGTAAATAATTGTTATATTTTCATTCATTAAATTGTTGTTACATTTTATTAGACACCATTTTTGATTGATAAATTATAATAAATCATAAAACGAAATTCAACAGAATTTATGGGAAAATAAAATGGTTTTCTTGGGAGTTAAAAAACAAGTTTCTATTCATTCTCATGGTCTAACACACATGTGGAAAGCATGTCCACATTTATAGTAAATTTATATTGTGATTGTATTTTTGGCCATATCATCCAGCCCTAATGCATAGTTCGCAATATTAAAGGAATTAAATATAAACATCAAATGTTTTCACTATCACGTCATTCCTAGCATGTCTATTGAACAAAAATGTAGAAATTCTGGTCACGCTTTTTCATGCAGTTACAAAAAAAAAATTTGACTGAAGCTTCAAAAAGCACCATCAATGCATCGTAAAACATTTAGACTTCTGAAGCCTTGCAGTGGCTTTGTGTGAGAAAGAGAACAAAATTGAAGTCAGAACTTGTTAAGGGAATCTTGTTCCGATTTTTATGTTGCTGGTCCTTAAAGGGATAGTTCACCCAAAAATGAAAATTCTGTCATTAATTACTCACATGTGGTTCCAAACCTGTAAGACCTTCGTTCATCTTCGGAACACAAATCAAGATATTTTTTATTTATTCTGAAAGCTCTCTGACCCTCCCATAGACAGCAAGGATCCTTACATGATCAAGGCTCATAGCTTGCTCATAGATTCTCATAGCTTCGTAAAATGACGGTTGAACCACTGATGTCACAATGATTATTTTAACGATCTCCTTGCTACGTTTCTGAGCCTTGATCATGTAAGGATCCTTGCTGTCTATGGGAGGGTCAGAGAGCTCTCAGAATGCATCAAAAATATCTTAATTTGTGTTCCGAAGATGAATGAAGGTCTTACGGGTTTGAAACAATTTCAGGGTGAGTAATTAATGACAGAATTTTCATTTTTGGGTGAACTATCCCTTTAAATTGGCTGAGAGGAACATCTGAGATTATAAAGGCCAAAAACCCCTGCATTAGATAAAAACACTTTCAGAATTTTCTTTCGTCTAATACTCTCTTTCTCTCCCCCTTTCGCCCCTCTCTCGATCAATAGCTCAAGCTACTGCAGCATTCCAGGCACGATACGCTGATATCTTCCCCACTAAGGTGTGTTTACAGCTCAAGATCCGTGAGGTCCGGCAAAAGATCATGCAAACGGCAGCTCCGTCGGAATCGGCAGGCATTTTTGATGTTTCCTCATTACCAGGACCTTCTGGGGCAGCGGCGGGGGCCAGTGACCTAGCTATAGGGGCAGAGCCTCAGGAAAAAGAGGCCGAGCGGGAGGGTGAGCAGAACAGCTCGGAGGAGCCCAGAAATGCTGGCGATTCACAGGACACCAGCAGATGAGGTTGATGGGAAAATGGAAGGCTTGAAGACCAGATGTCTCCCCTCGACATCTGCATGATCTACATTTGTTGTCTTGTCTCTGCTATGACTGCCTCGGAAGGACATAGAGAGAAAAAGCAAGAGCAAAATTTGTATGTATATGGAGCAGATGAGGGGAGATGCCTAAAAACACTTTGGGGTTTTGAAACTTCTCAGTATTTCACGTGATGTTGAATTATGAAAACCTAACATCGACACATTCAGACACTTGCCTACATAAACACAGACACTCTTGAATATACACTCTTGAATTTACAGCATTATCTTAGTCATTAGGCTTCCTTTGGACTTTGAAACTAGAGGACTGTGGGCCTGTCCTGTACACCAGTGAAGTCACAGTGCTGCTGATGCCTCTAGAAAGGCGGGACGTGTGAGGGCACCCCATTCCTTTTCAGACTGAGTTGTGTTCGTACGGCCTGATTGGCAGTAGCTTGGCCACAGGTGTTTTTTATTGGTTTGTAGGTTACTGCCAGTCATTGTGAGGCGGGCCTCCACTGGCTGAGTTTAAGTGATAATGAAGACTTGTTGGACTTTTATTTTTGATTTTTTTTTCTTCTGTGGTGTTTTAATTTTTGAAGACTTTTTCACAGAGAGCTTTGTTAAGGCACTGAAAACCTTCGGCGAGAGACTTTGCGCTGCCATTCGTAAACTTTTCGTCCTATGATTGACTTTAACGGTTGTCAATCAAACTGGAGTCATTCCAAAGCATCTGATTGGCTAGCCATGAAGGAAAAAGGTCATGGAAGGGAAGTCAACAGGCACATCATTGCCATTGATTTATGTTTTTCCATATATTAAGAAATTCCACATATTTAAGCATTTCTTTCTCTGCCTTTTTTATTCAACTTTTCATGAGCTGGTGAAGCACGGAGCAAAGAGAATGTTGAGAATATATTCTTAAGAATTTACTATAAGAATTTTATTAACTTTTTAGAGGAGAAACTTGATTTTTCAACACGTAATGATACAGGTCATTATGTTATAAAATCTCATTATTACTGTTCTTATTAATGCTTTGTTGTTCTTGTGGATCTGATCCTTATAACCTATATATATACTGTATTCTTATTAATATACTCTTTCTTTAGCAGAAACGGAGGGACGAGTTCGCCCTCTTCCCTTGCTCCCAGAGGCACTTCCACTACCTTTTTTTAAACCTTTTCTCTTACACTTTTTATCTTGATATTCACAATGTTTTATTTCTTACCAGAGAGCAATTACGTAAGCCTTTATTGTTAGGCACTCCAAATATCTTTCTGGTAGTTGTACATGTTTTTTATTATTTCGATTTACCACTTACATTCCTCCTCCTGTCACTTTATCGTTTTTTCTCAATCACTTTAAGGCTATAAGGGGGACTGGGAGGCCACAGATGATCTTCTCTTGCAGCACTGCTCTTTGTTGTACATAAATACAGTAAGAGTCCAAAGACTCAAGCATCACAATAAAAAGCATCAACAAAAACATTGTTGGAAGAAACAAAGCCAGTAACAAGAAATTGTATTACAAAAGGGGAAATAAAGAAATATGGTTATAAACTGTTCTTATTGCGTTACCTTGTTTTGCTGATTTACGTACCCAAGAAAGACTTGACTTACCGATAAGCTTTACATTTTAACTGTATCTCTCAGTAAACAAATAAATAGATGTTCAATGAAACAGACTCTTCGTTATAAGTAAAAAGATTGAGGAAATAATAACTCTTCATTGGACATCGATTGGGTGACGTCATAGATGTGCATTTTAATTGTATTTTTTCGGAGCGCAACTGTTTAAAACTTCACCGTGATCTATTTTTGTGCGGGAAGTTTTGAGTTGGAGTATGCCTGAATGGTACATCAAGTTATAAGATGTGACCAATAAGAATAAAGGAATGATTGGGTGTTTAAATACACAAGTATTAGTAACATTATATTGTGGTTAGTTTTTTTTTTTTTATCACATTTCTACATTCTAGCCAATTGCAGTATGGAGAAACAAATGAATTCCATGTAACATCAGAACAAATTTAAAGATTTACTTTCTTTCACTCAAGAAGAACATTCTATGATCATTTTCTTAGTTTCAAACCTGTGACTTTTTTTCTTCTCTGGGTCACAAAAATGTTATTTTCAAAAATGTCTCCGTGTGGTTTTGTCCAAACAATGGAAGTCAGTGGGGTCCCGTGTTGCTTTGGCCCTCTTTGACTGAGATTGCATCTAATAAGAACATTGAAACGTTCCAAATATCTTCTCTTTGTTCTGCAGAAGAAAGTCGTACAGGTTTAAAACAACATGAGAAGGTGAATAAATGATGACAGAATGTTCATTTTTTTGAATGGCCCATCCCTTTAAGGTGACATCGTGATTGCTGGGTATTGCTGTTGTAACACCACTTTCTCAAAGAAATTACACTAGGGAGACAAACTGTTTTAAGTTTATTTGCAACACGTCTCCAAATCAGCATCATAACATTAAAAATGCTACAAGCATTCAGTGTACAGATCGAGAGATGGAAATACATGTGAATTCATTGTCCACTGTAGTGATGGTGCATAATATCTGTCCATGATTAGCACTTGTTTTGTACTTCCTCTGCCCTGTTGTTTTGTTCTTCAGGTGAGTGCCCTTAAACTACCTCCTCCCCAGAACTGCAGGTCAGGACGTTAACCGGGAATCATTACACACCATCCTGTGTTATCAACGTGCTCTACTGTCCACGGGTGAAATCTGTACCTTCATACCCTCCATCTGGCTGTCCAAATGTCAGATTGAGAGTGTCATGCAGTGTGTCATCAGAAAGACAGACTGTACATTTCTTGTCCCAAAACAGGAGACATCCTATCACAGATTTGAGCCTTTCAGTTGCACCTCTAATATCAGCCCTCTTTTAAGATTGTTAGCTCAAATTATTTAGCAAAAATGTCTTTAAAAATTGAAAATAAGGCTGAAGAATATCTGAAAGGATGGACTAGAGTGGCTATTTGAGGTATGCTTGTTCACACATTCAATGGAAATGACTACAATGTCTTGAATATGGAACACTTCCTTAATCTCTGCTTTCCCTGTTTTTTTCTCTCTGCACTTGTTCTGACCCACTTATGCTCTTCTTTTAATCACAATCTTCAAATCACCAAGATGATGGCCACTGGAGTGCTGCACTGTTCTTCACTTCTCTCACATTAACTGCAGGTTGTCCACAGTGATGGCCTCCATGTTGATGCCACTCTCCAGTGCTGTGTGGTACAGCTCGATGGCCTCTGCCAGGTCTCCGCTCGTCTCAATGATGGCTATAGTCTCTCCAAGCTCGTTAAACATGATAGTGGGAGTTCCCTGAGTATGAAACATTGAGAAAATATAAACCATTATTTTGTGAACATGCAAAACTATAGCAAACACACACACACCGTAGGGTGGTTTCCAAAAATTTCGGCATTGATTCTGATTCATGGTTCTAGAACTTACTATGGAATCGACTCCTCGCTTTTGTTTTCTTTCATTCTTTTTTTTAAGATTAGAGGAACATGTTTACCTAATATTGCTTGGATATATGATATGAAGGCTTACCTCCTTTTAAACTTTCTTAGTATATAATATTACCAGCTATAATATCATCTATTATCTTTCCATGTAGTTCGGAGCACCCCTCAAATCTTCCCATTGTGGACTACCGAACAAGCCAGTTTCACTCTCGAGTTCACAAGATTAGTTTATTCTATATATTTTAGACACCTAAAACGTTTTAGGAGCAAAACTTTAATTTAGGAGACATGTTGAAGACAATCTAATGATATTTGTAAGTTGTATGCTATTCGACATGCAGGAACTTTCATACATATGGCTTTATTTGAATGTTTCTGCACAACATACCATGATACGGAGTTGTTAATAATACGTACAATGTAAAAGATCAGCTGCAAACATTTTTTGAGTCGATTAGTTGAAACTGACCATCCATCACTACAGTGAGCGACTGAGAGGCGTATTAATCATTAGCTGTATTGAACTGAAAAAGACTATTAAAGAGGAGCCAATTCGCATTTTTCCGACCTTTGCAATAGATTTTCAATTCCAAACGCCTTGTAAATCTGTTTTTTGGAAATCGATTCCCAGTTCTAACACACAAAAGTAACAGTTTCCTACCTGTGTCAGGTTGGATGTTTGTATCTGAATGACTTGGGGTTGTCCAAGCTGCACCTCTTGTTGGCAGAAGGCTGGTACCAGGTCCATCTCAGAAGCTTCCACAACAGCAACAGTTGCTGTTTGAGATTCTGCAGCCACTGCTTCTGCGCTATGTTCTGGCTCTTGCTTTTGGGTGCGATTGTGGGTCTTCCGATGGTTCCTAAGGTTCGAAACCGTCTTGAAGGTCTTTCCACATTCACCGCAAGCATGCGGCCGCTCACCCGTGTGTGTACGCCGGTGTTCCGCCAGATGCATGCTCTGCACGAAGCCCTTATCGCAGAACTCGCACCGGAACGGACGCTCGCCCGAATGTGTGCGAAGGTGCTCCCGCAGGTGCGTGTTCTGGCGAAACCGTTTTCCGCAGATCACGCAAGGATACGGACGCTCACCGGTGTGTACTCTTTGGTGTAGTGTAACACTTGAGGCTGAACCAAAGAGTTTTCCACAGACCGGACAGGGATGAGGCTTGCCAGTGGTGGAGCTTGAGCCTCGAGGCCGGCCGGGCCCAAGTCCGTGACTTAGCTGGTGCAGGCGGAGATTTGCAGGAGAATTTAACCGCTTGCCACAAATAGTGCAATCCAGATTAGGTTTCGTCATCGAAGGAGCGCTTAGTTGCTCTGTATTATCCATCGAGCCCTGTTGACTGCTAACCTGGGAGTCCTGGGAGATACTGTGTAGCTGAGTAAAGTTGGGATGCTCCTCCAGGCAATGAAGGTCTCGTTGACGCTTGCGCAAGAACCCCTCGGAACAGTGCGGGCAGGGGTAAGGTGCTGGTGACCCTGGGTGGTGAAGAAAACGATGAGCTACAAGTTTAGCAGGACGGATAAAGGTAGCGGAGCAGTCTGGACAGGGTGAGGGCATCACATTGCTGTGAAGATGCTGACGGTGTTGACGAAGATTTGACGATTGGCTGAAGGCTTTGTGGCAAATGTCACACCGGTACGGACGGACTCCTGTGTGTGTGAGTCCATGACGGGAAAGATTTGCAAGAGAGGAAA